TTGCCTGACCCCCCCCCCCTCTCTTCATCTTTCCCCGTCTGCTCCTATGATTAAGCGGCTCGGTGCCTAAGGTGGCACATTCATTGGTCTGCGTAACGACAGGGTCATTAACACCAGTGATCTCATCTACAGAGAGGTGGCCTCGTTAGCTCTTGCTGTAACGTGAACAGGTATTATTCCGTCTTCATGGCCTTCGGACTGAATCTCCACACATTTAGTGCTCATAGCACGTTTTGTCCAGCATAGAACATGTGTGTGACAAACAAAAACAGCACCAAATATACCTGAAGTTTGCTTAGAACGTCGGATTAGACAGCAGCTGGCTCAGTGTCACGCGACACCTTGTGGTGTGACGGGTGAAGGTGAGGTGCGCCGGATTTGGCGACATCCGAGAGGCCGCAACCAATCGCAAACTTCTCCCTTCTGCAACCCGGGAGGAAGTCAGGAAGGATCCATTGAGGGCCAGAGTTGTTCTGGGCTGCTGTACAAACAGTGAAGAGGACACACACAAAAAATATATATTTTCAGGTGAAATAACAAAAGAAAAACCTGCGTACGTTCAACTAGAGCAACTACAGCAGGACGAAATGCAAAATGCAATCTAACTATGAAGCGCTATTGGTAGTTGGTAAAGTAAGCTGCATTCTCTGTAGTGACCAGCAGGGGGCGACTCCTCTGCTCCCATAGACGTCTATGAGGAAATGACTCTACTTCTCTGTAGTGACCAGCAGGGGGCGACTCCTCTGCTCCCATAGACGTCTATGAGAAAATGACTTCACTCACTTGATTTATTCCCTCAGTGAACATTGTACACATGAGTTTATGGTCTCAATCTCTAGTTTGAAGTCTTCTTCAATACAGCATGATGTTGATTTAGTGAATTATGGTCCATTCAGAGTCAGATTTAGGAACACGGTATGATTTAGGGCGGGGCTTACTGTGAGTGACATGCCGCTAGCAGAGCCGTATCTGTCATTTCTACATGACTCCTCTGCATTTCAACACCTGTTCGTTAGTTGTGGAAGTTGTCCTTAGCCAGAATTCCAATTCCAAGATGTCGACAGTGAAATCGACGAACTGATGACAACGATCCATCAATCACTGTGGAACGTTCCGGTGACAACGCCACATATATAGTCCGTGCTAAGAGCTCATCCGGGTTTTCCCCAACCTCTTTAGTTCCTATGCAGGACGGAGGAACAGAGAGGATGGAGGGAAGAAAAGAGGTGTCCTTTAGGAGGAGATGTGAGGAAGTATGGAGCCAAATCCAGGCCCATGTGGCCTGAAGGCACATGGTCGAGGCACCTCCAACTGAAAAACAAAAAAGGCCCTCAAATATCGGAAAATGTATGTATAAGTGAAGAAGGAAAGTAAATATTTTATTCAAAACAATTCAAGAACTGTATCAAACATCCACAAACGCGATGTGTCTAATAATTTGTGCTGGCAAGTAGAAGCTGTAATTTCTTTCTCCTCGACACCCATCATCCTCTCACATAAACACTCTTTGTCAGCTCTGACAGCCAGTTATAAGAGGGATGAAGAGAGGAAGAGGAAGGAAAGCTGGGGGGTGAAGAACCAAGGAGATGAGTCAGCATAATGGAGTGGGAGTGCAGGAACAAAATAATAGTTGATTTTATAATGTGTCCAGATAACTTCCGACGAAGAAGACGTATTTTTAGGTTTGATTTAATCAGACAAAATTGCAGAAATTCCTCTAAAGTCTTTTTCCTCCATCCACCCATCCATTTCCCTCCTGTAATCCCGGGCGGGGTCGCGGTAGCAGGAGGCCCAGCAGGATGACCCAGACTCCTACCAGTTGGGCGTGGCTGAAAAGGTGTCCAGGAGGCCTTTAATGCCCCAAACACCTCAGCAGATGCCTCTGATGTTTTATTTAAAATGTGTATCTGCAGTACTCTTTTCAGCCCCATTCAGCCCCGTGAATTTGATACAATTTGATTACAATGTGGCCTTCAAAGGTCTCCATGAACCCCCCCAGAAAAGAATATAGAAATTCAGACGCTAATTATGGGAATTTCTGCCAAACATTTAAGATGTCTGACATATTAAAACATCATACAACGTGTGAACGTGTGAATCCCGACAAAGGGTGAGGGACGGAGAGGAGAGGGGAGAGGACGGGAGGTGCGGAAGGATCAGGGGAGAATTTTTTTTAAAAGAGCACAAGGGAGGAAGTGGCAGCCTTGGAGAGGAAGTGGCAGCCCGGAAGAGAAGGTGGCAGCCGGGCGAAGGGAGCCATTCTTCGTGGAGTGTTGCAAGGTCAATTAGACCGTTTACAGGCTGCCATCGCACAGCGAAGTACACGCCACTCACACGGGACGGGGGTGGAGGTTTGAATCTCGTTATCATCAGTTAGCCTGAGTGAGGTGGCGTCGTGTCTCGCCGAGGGAGGAGGCCCGAGAGCGCAGGTACCTGCCGTCACTAAAGAATCCACACCGACAACAGGTCATCTTCACGCAGGGCGCAAAGACATCAGCCGGTTACGTCATCTTCTCCTTTGTTTTCCGGGGTCGAGAGGAATCAATTGAAAATGGTTTGAAATCAAATGACACGAAGCGATGAGAAGAAACATCAAGCTGCGGTGCGAGCAGAGAACGGAGGCTGACAGAGGACGCAAGAGATGAAAGAGAGAAGAGAGGGATGAGAGGGTGAGGACAGGCTCCATGGGCCGTCTCCCGGGGCAACCCTCTGTTGCCGGTGGACACACACACACACACACACACACACATGAATATTCAAATAAGTAAAAGGGAGAGAGCTTCATAATATATTCATGCCATTTTCAATAAGGCATATTTCAATTAGAGGGCAAGAGATTCATTTATTATCAAGTAATGCGTTTTCAATTATACATCCGTGAATTAGAGGAAGAAGAAGGGAAGCAGAGGCAGAAAGGAGGAAGAGAATTGGATCCCATACTTCCAGGAATAGTTTGACGCTTATTTGCTTTCTTACCAAGTCAATATTCTCCTCCGAACTCTGAGCAGAAAGCGAAGCGGGTATTTCTCAAAATGTCAAACTGATTATTCAAAGTGAAGGTCGGTAATCTAAGAGGTAAGAGATTGTTTTTATATTCTGAAATTTACAAGCTGGAAACTTACATTCAAATAAATACAACAAAAAATAGTGCTCCCTTTTCTGTAAACATATAGGAGGATAACCACATGATCTTTAAAGAGGGAGGGAGATGAAGGAAACCGCTGTCTGTCAGCGGACTTCCTCAGTAGATTTAGAACTAGTAGAACTTTTGCTGTCCTTGCTGCTTGGTCGAGTTTTTCTGCTGCATCATTTTTTTTAAATGCAAAGCCTTATCTTTGAAACCGTGGAATGCCCCCTCCTCAGTGCACCCTGCTCATAGCACCCTGCTCATAGCACCCTGCTCGTAGCACCCTGCTCATAGCACCCTGCTCACAGCACCCTGCTCACAGCACCCTGCTCGTAGCACCCTGCTCAGTGCAAACTGCTCACAGCACCCTGCTCAGTGCAAACTGCTCACAGCACCCTGCTCAGTGCACCCTGCTCAGTGCACCCTGCTCATAGCACCCTGCTTAGTGCACCCTGCTCATAGCACCCCGCTCAGTGCACCCTGCTCATAGCACTCAGTGTGTGGTCTCGTTTGCCTCCCACACATCTGCATGGCTGCATGCTTCCCGGGTGAGCTCGACGCTGCCTTGGAGTGAAGGACACGGCACACACCATGTTTGTGTTGCAGCGTGAGGGACGTTTACCTCGAGCTGCAGAGATGATCTCAGGCCCGTTATGCTGCGTCGTCCTTACAGTCTCACTACTGGGTCTCCTCTCCCACACCACAAACACACACACATTCAGAGAAAGATACAAACACTAATGCAACATTTATTTTCACAGAAGATTCTTCAGGTTTTGATATAAAATGAAATGCGTCTGTATAATAAGAGCTAAAACGAACGGCGAAGCCTTGCAAAAAAGCTGTGACTTCTTTTTTGGCATTTTAATGTGACGCGCGAAAAGTCTGGAAAACGGGATCAACAAAAGTATTTCTCTCTGAATAAGGATGTGTGCATATAATGGAGGCTTTAATCAATGTGCACCTAAAAAACCATGTCAGCACAAAATAAATCAATACATGCACTGCACTTGAAATCATTACATAAGCACGACGGAGGCTCGTGGGACGAGACAAAAAAGGTACAAAACAATTCTCCACAGCGACTCCCTTAAAATGACATTTGTGCCTTTAAGGGACACGGCAGAGTTCTTTATCTCCCAGGATCAACTGGAGCTGTTCTCATACGTAAAATACAGATGAAATATGAGAATGTTCCTTGTGTTCTTAGTGTTTAAACTTCAATAAGATAAATTCAAATACCTTTCATTTAGATTTTCCAGTCCACAACCGGACTCTTTCTGTCCTTATTCAACTTTTGCACAAGTGGATCTGTTCTCTTCCTGCAGATGCATTTGAGAACAAGCGACAAGCTCTGCACAGTCACAGACATTCAGTGAGCTCCAACGCCACGTGGACTTAGATACTGTCCTTCAGAGGGGCCCTTTAACAGCGGCCCCCTGTGTCAAATGTTCCAAGGGGGCCAATACTTCCACCTCCAGGAGGTCAGGTTTTCCACCGAGCAGGTCAATCTAGATAAACATGTATTTCAGAACTCAAATGGATCTTTCGCATTAATTATGTTAAAAAGCGACATGGGCCGAGCCCGATGCATCGGGGCCTTTTTGTTTCTGGTTAGATGTTGTTTGATTTTCCTTTCTAGCTTTTACCAATATCACCCCCTCCCTCCCACCTCACTCGTGTGCGTGGCGACCACAGCTATTGACAAGCCGTTTCATCGAATTGAACCGAACATTTCTACCTTTAAAAAAAAAAAAAGGCCTGCCAGCCAATCACCGCGCGGGGGAGGCGGGCCCTATGCAAATGTGTTGGCAAGGGAGACGCAGCGGTTCATTCATCTCCACAGAGAGAGAGAGAGAGATAGGGGGGGAGAGAGAGAGAGGGAGAGAGGGAGAGAGGAGAGTTGAGCACGAAGGTTATTTTGCATGAGGGAGGAACAGCTTCGGACCGAAACAGAGCCGCGAGAAGAGCTGCGAAGCAACGAAGCGGAGAGAGGAGCGTATTCTTCTGCAGAACATCACAGGGTAGGAGGAGGACGTCGGGTGTCTTTGTGCCATCGTGGTTGTGTGTCTGCAAGTGTTGCTCAGATGTGTCACGTATTGCCTTTGAACTGGGTCTGAATTACAGAGTGTTGCTGGTCTGTAACGGGTGGAGGACCTGGCCCGCTTAGCCCCAACCAGTGTGACACGCATCACCATTATAATGAGTGCAGGCTCCCAGTGGACTGGACTGCCCTGTTGGGGGGGAAGGGGTCTTGCTCAAGGGCACTCGGGGCTGGAGAGTGAATCGAACCTGCGACCGCCTCAAACACGGGTGTGAAAACGCAGCCGTGGACGTCGGTGCAGGACGTCCTTCACGCTTTTAGGGGCAAACCGGATGAACAAAATAAGGCTCCAAACCGGCGTGTCGCACCGCGCGTTAATACGCGCGCACACGGAACCACGTGTGTTTATTAGCCTGGACTTTGGGTGTGTGGCGGGTGAGGGGGGGATCGGGATGGGGGGCGGCGGCTGCTATATTTGCACCAACTCGTTTCAGCACAAGGAAGTTAGTGAGCAAACAGAGCTGCTTTCTAGTCATTTCTAATTGATCCGCGCCGGTAAAGACGCGCGGCGGTTCCTCTCCTCCTCTGCGTAATTCCGTCCTCCGTGATCGACAGCAGGTCCCGACTGCGGTAACAGGGACCGGCCCACATTACCGGAGGCCGCCGGGCGGCTCTGTGCATCGTCAGCGGGTCACACCAGATGAGATATTGCATCACAGAAACTGACCCGTCGCGCGCCTCGCTGGATCCAAAGCATCGATTGTTTTAATACGCGATACGCAGCAGGAGCGCGATGTGGGGCAGAGACACGAGTTGTTTGCGTGGGCTTAACGTATCGACGCGTTAATGCTGGTTTGTCTTGCTGCACTTCTCCACCCTCAGGGGACGGTGTTTGGTTCAGTTCAGTCAGGCTGTCTGAGCATCCACCGCAACACTGCAACCACCCGCATCTGTAACATCATTATAAGAAAGTCACTCGTGGTTTTCTGCATGTGAACACAGAGTTTTACATTAGAAAATGAGCGCAGTTTTCATGGGTAAAACTCTGCAAACTAATTCCAAATTAGCAGTGAATTTTTATGCTTCTGACGACATCTGTCAGAAACCTGTAATTTGTGTTACCGAGCTGGTGTCAAGCTCGGATCCATTATGTGGAGAGTAATTTCCTTCTTTTTTTTTTGTTCTTCCCATTTATGTCATGTTCCCTGAGCCAACGTATATTCATGTTCTTCACAGAGAAAAGCAATGCGTCACTACAGCTGACTGCTAACACTTAATGGAATTAACTGCCCCAAGAAAAACAACCACCCTGAAAATGAAAACGTTATAAGATCATAGCAAGCGTCGTTACAAAAAAACGTGTCCCTCATAAAGTGGCCACTGAGAGTTATTCTGTGCGTTTCTCACATAGACTGTATGTAAGAAGTGGACGCAGTGTGAAGTCCTCGTTGGGGAACCGCTGGTTTGAGGCCTCACGTTGTTTTTGGGTCAGTTTCACTCTAAATGAACCATAATTTACTTAACGAACATCATGCTGTATTAAAGAAGACTTAAACCATAAACTCGTGTTTACAATGTTTACTGAGGGAATAAATCAAGTCGTTTTCTCATAGACTTCTATGGGACCGGCGCAGTCGCCCCCTGGTGGTCAGCAAAGATAATGCAGGTTTAAGGCTCTTTGGCATTGGTTTTCTTTTCAGGCTTCGTCAAAAGCATAACGATCTGGTGTAAATGCTTTGCCTGAAGGTCACACGCTGTGTCTTAGATGTTGACGTCTCCATCGTGGACCGCAGCGAGCGCAGACTGCAGCTTCATGCCCGGCTGTTGGCTGCAGTGCTTCCCGCTCAAACTCCAAGTCCACTCTGAGCTTCCACTTCCAAACGCTTAAGTGCTGTCTCGTTGACCTTCACTCAAAGCCTGTGCACAAACATGCGCTCCCACCGCCCTTCTTCTCGTCACGGCGCCTCCCAACGTTGTTAATGCCCAAGTTAAGTTGATTGTTTGGGTCTCTGCAGGGTCGCGGGCTCAGCTCGCCGTTATTCTCCACAGGTAAAAGAAGCTACTCACTGGATGGGGGAGCACATGATCACAGCGACTTCCTCTGTCCTAAATACCTATTATTCTAACTCATAGCTTGTTGGGAACTGTTCAATAACGGCTGTTTGGCCAGTGACTCCATATTTCATTGTATGCAAAGGGTCAGCGGCTCCGAACGGCGCTCTCCTCCAGAGGTGTGAACGCCGTCTGCACTGTCTGAGTCAGCTTCGAGGTGGACTGACAAGCTGTCAGGATGAAGCCCGCCTCGAGCCCAATGCATGCTGGGATAGACTCCACTCTCCCCCGGTTTACAAGAACTGCTGGATGACAATAAAATGCCCCCATGCTCAGATATTCAGTGTGGACAAATAAGTAAAAAAAATAAATATTTCATTCAGACCCTGAATGAAGGAGTGAAGAATCTATTGCCGCTCGAGTTCAGCATGAGGTAGTTCGACCTGTTTCTTTGAGGGTCGTGTGCAAATGTCTCTACTGGATGATGTCATTAACAAAACTCAACACTACTGCGTCGCACGATAACGTCTCCGGCCTTTGGTGGAGAAGGTTTTTTTTCTTCCTAACGCCTCCCTGCCGCTGCCGCCTGCCCTCGCCCACTTCCCCGGGCGAGGAGCTGCTCGAATTAATTCACCAACGCCGCACCACCTGCTCAACGCCGGCTCAGCCCGCAGATCCAACGTGGCGTTCGGCATCCTCGCCGTGCCACGTGATCACGACGCTCAGTCTCCGTTCAGAGGGACTTGACTGCAAAAGCACTGTATATTTTTGCATGAAGATATGGTGGTTGTCAACATGACGAAATGCACGAGGGATTCCTTTATTAGTTGTAAGTGTTACGGCTGGTGGCACCACGGGGACCAGAAGAGGAGCCAGAGAGCAGGGTGAGGTGCAGCAACAGCTGTTACTTGTCCAAACAGGTTCGGTACACAGGAGGCCTGTGAGGAAAAGACAAGGTCAGGAGAAAAGAAAACAGCAACGAGGACACGAGGAACCGCCTGGAAGGCTCGACGAAAATTACGCCGAGACGGAGGAAGTTAAACCCTCTGGTGATCAGACGCAGCCGGATCCCGCCGGGGGGGGGGGCGAGTTTGACGATCACAAAGGCCGCAAAACGCATAAAAACAGAGACGGGAAGACTCTGAAATGGAAGGCAACAGACGGCAGTTGAGCCGCGGTAGTCATGGCGACGTCAGCGGTTTGAGGGCCGCATGCTTGGAAGCCGCGTCGATACTTTTCGCACACACACAGAGAGCGGAGAGGTGATTCGAAATGGGCGGTGGTGACGCAGCGAGACCGTGTATTTCCCCCGGCAGCCGCCTGTCAATCACAGTAAGCCCCGCCCTGAAGCAGCATTTGCTAAACGAGCATCATGCTGTATTCAAGATGACTTGGAACTAGAGATTGAGACCATGAACTCGTGTTCAAAAGGTTTTCTTGAGATAATAAATGACGTGTTGAGTAGTGTCTTTTTCTCATAGACTTCTTTCCCCCTGCTGGTCAGTACAGAGAATGCAAGCAGACTTAAATAGCAGCACTGAGCCGCTCCGAGCGCAACGTTGCGGCGCCTCCCTGCACGCTGTCAGACGTCGATCGGCCTCCCGCCACCACAGGAACGCGTGAAAAGTTCACACCAACGCAGGACGGTGTTCAGCACTGCCGCAGGCGCTCGTCCCATGCTGCTCCCTGAGCCGGCTTTCAACACAACACACGGTGAACACACGTGTGTGTGTCTGTCGCTCTCGCGCCCGGGCCGCAAAACAGAAGAGTCTGTTTTTGTGCGTGCATATGGTGTGTGTGTGTGTGTGTGTGTGTGTGCGACTGGTGGCATATTCCGACCTCCGATAGTTAAAGTGTCACCGACGTGAATGTGAATTACCCGCGTGGTGGCTGTGCAGGTCCGCCGGGGCCGAACCAACAGGGGACGCGTCAGCACTCAGACATGAGTCACCCCGACCTCGCTGAACCGCGGCAATAAACGAATCCCGAAGTGAGCGCATGGCGTGTTGTTTTTTTTTGTTTTTTGGAGGTACCCGGGAGATAAAGGTTAGGAGGGAGGCTGAATCACGCAGGCACACGGACGCCCCCCCCCCCCCCGTCCCCCCACCGTGTTTCCTCCCCGCGCTCCAAACCGCACCGAGGCGAGCGGCGTTTCTATAGCGATGCACCGGGGAGAGGCATGAATTACAGCAGGCATAAGATCCACGTCTCAGTGGTTGGACCTCAGCGCCACCGAGGTCTGTGTGACTTCTTATTGACGCCATTCATCGTCAACGACCCCCTCAAGTACCCAGTCGAGCGCTGATGTGGCCTAAATGTAGGCGTTCAATGGCTTCCGCCAGGCCCATCGCTCAGGGGGTCTCCCGGGTGGACCCGCTGCGACCGTCTGTCTGGGCAGCGAGCCGCGGCAACCGTTGTCAAGGCAACAAATTGTCCCGTTTAACTTCCGATGCTGCACGAAGACCAGCGAGCGAGCGAGCGGTGAAAGCTCCACGCGTCGGCGTCACCTTTCTATCCTCTTTTAATGCTCCCTCTTTCTTCGGCACACTCGGGACGGGAAGTTCGGGTCATTTTACCGACTCGGTCCTTTGAATCTCGTTCAGTAAAATGAACGAATCTTTTTTCGAGTCATTCGTTCGTTTCGGGGGGGTTAACTACTCCCGGCCGTGTCCTCGGGTCAACGTTTCGTTCATTGAGCCTATGCAAAGTCCCGATGCGTGGCCACGACAAAATGAGCTGATCTTTTTTTAAAGAGGACTCGTTACTCTCGAGTCCTTGTAAGGATTCGTTCAAAATGAACGGATCGTTCACGAGCGACACGTCACCAACGCACACACACGAGTCGATGGGCTGGTATTGGACTGGTTCCCTATTGATTGCTCCCCGACTGCAGCTACGGGTCCATTCTACTTTTTCCACTCTGACAAACGTTGTCGCCGCTGCAAACACACAACGCAGCTACGCACAGGAAATTGACTGTTACGTCGGAGGCCCAGCTTCCCATTTTTGCTCCCGTTCCAACTCAATTACAGCTTTTCCCGGGCTGATCATTTCCCCCCGCCCCCCCTCCGGGCCCCGTCCAGTCAGAGACGCGGCGCCTGGGCTTCACGACGACGTGGCGCTGTAATCTCGCTGCTTCTCATTGCTGCTTCGTCCTGTCGCCATAACAACGGAAACACACTCTGCTTAATTAAAAAGCAGAATAACTCCAGCGTGATTCGAGTTTAGGTCAACTCCTGATTCTCACACACCGACCCTACGAAGAGTAATGGATTGTAATCCGTCCAAATCCCAGAAATACCCAGAAGTCGCAACGCCACTTTTAATCAAAACCACAATCCAAGCCCAGCTGTGGACTTCAAGAGAAACGTGAGGAAAAAAAAGGGTGAATCACAAACAAAAACATTTAATCGAATCGCCTCCACATGGGCAAACCCGACAGCCGTCCAGCTGCAAAGTCCAGGGTTTTATACTTCGGTGCAATTATTAATTATTAATTAGTTTGCCCGCCTGGCTGGTCACATCTCTCGATGGCATCCTCAGGAAACTCTATTATCTGCTTCATTTGCGTCCCGAGCAGACGGATAATCTCTCCTCTGCCTCAGCCGGCATAGCAGCTCTGAGGAAAGTGCTTGTGTGTGTGTGTGCAAAATTACAGTTAAATCAATAAGGAGATCAATAAAGATCATGATATTGAATTCTAAAAATACATTTCTAAATCTGTAAAGGAGGATCACTCAGGACGGAAAGCCGTAGCTCCTCCCCCTTAAAGACGGATCCATGTGGACAGAAGCATCGACATATCTGAGGGTGGAGTCCAAGCTCCAAAGATAAATTATTGCGAAAAGCTCCTGATCGAACTGCGACCTGTTCGCCGGACAGTCCTCCACATCTTCGGCCCGGCCGCAAATGGTGCTTTCGGCGGAGAGGTCCCGTGCAGAGCGAGCGCCGCGTCCCTCCCCTGATCACCTCCGCCTGCCTCCCTCCTGCAGCAGTCCACCTCGCGACCCAAACGGCGAGAAGAGGAAAAAAGGTCCCCGGTCCTGAAATAAACCCTGAGTCGTCTCCGAAGGGATCAATTTGTGTTACTGCACAGAGTCCTTTGTGGGAACACTTGAGCTTTGCTCTTTTACGGCTGCTCTCGTCGACGTCATAACAGTGGAAGCTCCTCTGTGGCAATAACAAAGTCACATGTGTGACTCCGACATTTAACATCTGTTTGATTTACTTATTTTCCTCCTTTTCTGCCTGACCAGCCTTTTATTTTCTCAAGCACCGGTAAGATGAAACATTTGTTTTTAAGTCTTTCAACCTGATTAGATCACCGGTGCTGGAATGTCCTGCGCGCCACTAACGTCCTTCATATTGTTTTTCCTCTCAGCGCTCGTTTGTCCTGCAGGGCCTCCAACATGTTAGGACAGTTTGGAGTGTCCTGGGGTTCGGCTGTGTGACATTAAGCATGACGGCACGATGGTTTAGCCTCTCAGCCGAGTCCCGTGTCCTCGCTCTTCGTTCCTCTGACTCAACGGGGTTTATGGAAAATGAGTCATTATGGAAACAGGAAAGATCTTTTGCTGGTGTTCAATGCAAAGGCCGCATATAAGAAGTGGACGCCACGTGGAGACAGCATCACCGCGGCGGTTTGTCTACCACATCCTCACCCGTCTCACCTGTCTCTCCCTCTCTCTCCCCTCCCCCCCCCCCCAGAGAGGTGAAGCACCATGGGGAAACACAACAGCAAGCTGGCTCCGGAGGTTCTGGAAGACCTGACCAAGAGCACGGAATTCAACGAGGCGGAGCTCAAGCAGTGGTACAAAGGCTTCCTGAAGGACTGTCCCTCCGGCATCCTCAACCTGGACGAGTTTCAGCAGCTCTATGTGAAGGTGAAGCCAGGAGAGAGAGAGAGCGACGTTCTCATTGTGTGTTTCATTGACGCGTTCCTTTCATCTTCATCCTTGCGTCTTCCATGAAGTGTCGCGCGACGTCACCGTGCCGCTCTCTTTCTGTCAGTTCTTTCCATATGGAGACGCGTCGAAGTTCGCCCAGCACGCGTTTCGGACATTCGACAAGAACGGCGACGGCACGATCGACTTCAGGGAGTTCATCTGCGCCTTGTCCATCACCTCCAGAGGCAGCTTCGAGCAGAAACTCAACTGGGCCTTCAACATGTACGACCTGGACGGGGACGGCAAGATCACGCGCGTGGAGATGCTGGAGATCATCGAGGTGCGGAAGCATTTGTGTTAACGGGGCTCCCTATTGTTCATGTGTTTGAAGACGCCGTCTCATTACCTCCCCCCCTCTACCCCCCCTCGACTCTGCAGGCCATCTACAACATGGTGCGCACCGTGATCATGATGCGTATGAACAAGGACGAGCTGACCACCCGCAACGCGTGTACAAGATCTTCTCCAAGATGGACAAGGACCACAACGACGAGATCTCCCTGGAGGAGTTCAAGGAGGCCGCCAAGTCCGACCCCTCCATCGTCCTACTGCTGCAGTGTGACATGCAGAAGTAGAGGGAGGGACGGGAGGAGAAACAGACGGGGGGGGGACTGAAACTAGAGGAGGAAGGAGGATTAGAGAACAGAAGGGCTCTGGAGGAAAGGGGAGGAGGAGGAGGGAGGGGGAGGAGGAGGTAGGGAAGCTTTATTTCGCTTTAAATATTTCTAGGCAGTGATGACTGCAATTGTAACACAGTGCACCTCTGCACAAACACATACATGTACACACACACACATATATATATATATATATATATATATATATATATGTGGATCTCCTTACTCCTGAATGGTTTGCCAAGATCTTAAAAGAATTTAAATTACGAGAGATTTCAATGGTTAAAAAACATTTTCTTTTGTTAGCTTTCTTTGTGTCTATCTGCCAAATGTTAAGCTGCAAGAAAGGTTAGCTTAGCTTAGCTTAGCTTCGAGACTGTAAACGGGGCTCCGTTCAGAGGTAAATAAATGTGCTCGCATAACGTTGGAGCTTCTGCTACGCGGCGCTAGATGGTTTCCATGTCCGCCTCTTTAAAGGCAAATGAACACATTTCTGTTTGTTCAGCGTCTCACTCAAGTGTAATTTCTGGGCCCCCGAAGCCAATTTGGAAACACAGCGGCTGTTCGGAAGCTTTGCACCGCGGGAGAGTTTAAAAAAAAGAGAATGGCATTAAACCAACGAAGAAGCTGTTTGGTTCCAGGAGTCACCAATGATATGTAGATAGGGAACGGATTATGTAAAGGAAAAACACCACAGGCTGTGTGTGTGAGTGTGTGTGTGTGTGTGTGTGTGTGTCTAAGAAGCTGATGAAATGTTAAATGCATGAACAACAACTGAAATTAGAAGTCGTTTCATCATCTAAGTTAATCACCTGTTTTAGATCACAGTTTATTAATAAAAAGAAGTTACTTTTGATCACTTTACTCAAAGTATTAGGCATGAGACCTGTAAGGAGTTATTACATTGTTACATTATTACTTTGGTATAAATGCATTAGAAACATTTTAACTGTGTTTTCTGTTGGGAAACCAAACTGAAGTAACTCTGATTACAGGAAACAGAAATAAAAACAAATAAGACAAAATAAAAGCCTACAGAATAGTATTAAAGCTAATGTTGCTTCTTTAGGACCAGAGATTTGTCCTGATATAAATGTATCTACATACGTACATACGACAAACTACTGTTTCTGAAACTAGATACATTAGGACAGTAGTCACTGTGAGACAGAAACAGGAGTTTGTGGTGAAGGTCAAGCCTCCTCTTCCTCCTCTTCGTCCCGCTTTCCCTCCTCGTTCTGTGTCTTGTTCCTCCCTAAATGTCAGAAGCGCTCCGATAATCGTGGATCCAGAGGAACTTTGCTGAACTCGGCTCACGTGTAAAAATCTATTTGAAAAAAAGAGCAAAAGGTTGAAGAGGAAACCTGGGCGCCATGCTGTGTGTGTGTGTGTGTGTGTGTGTCTGTCTGTGCGTGTGTGTGTGTGTGTTTGTGCGTCCACGGATCACCTGCTTGTGAACGTAAATGATGACTTTTAGCTGTACATTGCGTTAAAACAGTAACTTTAACTGGATAATTATGGAGCGTCTGGTTAGTCAC